AATAAAGAAGGGGCCCAGTCTTTCCAACATAACCACATCATTTGTCTGATGCACAGGCTTTTAGGAAATGTTGGGAACCAGAACATGTTCTGTGATCATGCTAATTCTGAGGATCACACTTGCTTTAGGCAACATCATCATTCTTCTCATCTTCCCCCAAGTCAGTAACTCCTGCTTACAGTCTTACCTGAGTTCCTGCTTTCCATTTTTTCTGAACACCTGAATTGGAAATTGAAGCCTAGGGAACAGATTTTCCTTGGTCCCAGTAACTGTTCTCAGGTTCTTTAATTGCCGCATTCCCTTCCCTCAGATTCAAATATTAAGGTTTTCTACCCCTAGATTTGGAATATTGCCAGTAGCTTCCCTGTTGGTATCCTCAGAATTCATACATCCTCAGCAAGTAAACCCAAGTGAGGAATGCAGCTATGGCAGAGCCTATTAAAGAGGGCCAATTACCCTTGGCCCCACACATAGAGGGAGCTCCAGAGGGAAGGTGTTTGTTTTAGTTGTTTGCTATCCATTTCCAGAGGCTGTGGGTGGCTAACAGTTTTAAAATAAAAGGACACCCCTCCAGACAAACATCCACATTTATGTAAAATAACAAAATCAAAAAGGATTTTTTAAAAAAATCAAGCAATACAAATGTCATGCACCTGCAAATCTCACTTTCAGCCATAACACACCCTCATCCTGTGCAAGACAAAAGAGGTTAAATCTTCACCATTTTCCTAAAGTCCAGAGGAACAGAGCTGGCTGAATCTTTGCTGGAAGGGAGTTCCAAAGATTGGGGGCAGCTACCAGAAATGCTTTCTTCCAAGCTCTTCTCAGGTGGCCTATATGATCTGGGTAGATGGACACAGGAGAAGGGGATCCTGTTTTCTAAATTTAGTATTCAAAATGATCATATAGATTTATAGATTTTTTTTTCATTCAAGGCACCTAAATTAATAGTTAAAATATAATGGGAAGTTATTCCAGGATTTGAGATTTCCCATACATTCTCAATTTCTTGGCTCTTCACTTCAAAGGACACAAAAGAAAAAAAAAATTACATTGATGCAGAAAAAAAAATGGGAAGCATTCAAATGAACATTCTGCTTCTTTTTCTGAGTCTAAAGGATCCTTAAGATGGGAACTGTGAGCACATTGACATGTTGTGATCTAATGTTTTGGATACTTCATTTAGCACCAGGAAAAACTGTGTTGTGTCTATAAGCAATTTGGCAAGGCTTATGTATATAGTTTATTTATAGCAAGGTAACCTGGTTGCAAACAGCCTTGAATGCTTTTAGCATGCTGCCTTTGTTCAGCAATGCTTAATTCTATTGCATCCTTATTTAGTTCTTAAGCTAGTCAATGATTTCTATGAAGCAGCAGTCATTTAATTAAGCAAGCTACATTTGATACAGGAATATTGGTAGTGTGTCTTGGTATATGGCTAAATGGTGTCAAAATCTAAAGCAAAGTGAGTTTTCTGGTTAGAAAATTGCAACTAGCTGTTTTTGAACTAAGGCTGAGAACCAAAAATGTACAAAAAATATCTAAGATTTCAAGAAAACAGAGATAGCCCTGACATGGCATTTGGCATTCTCTAGGTTAACATTTTTAATTATTCACACGAATAAGTGAATAGAAATACATTTTCACTGTTGTGCAGTTTCTGTGACTCCAAGCACTGCTGCAAAAACTCAGTTTATTTCAACTGTAAGAACATGAACATCTCCCAGTGAAATAGAAGATGGCTCATAGCAAAAGAATTTGGAGGACTGTACCATAAAGTAGCAAGAAACAGACAATAGCATAACACTGTTTTTTCCATAAAAAGAAAAACAGAACTACTAAGAGGTGACTCGATGTATAATATATAAATAGGCAAATGTAAACAAGAGATCATCATTCACAGCAATGGGTAATGTATTGAGAAAAATACATATTACTGTTGTATCCTGAGGGATACTCCCCTCAGACCTTTTGCTGCCTACCTATATTCCATGTACAGAAACTAGCTAGCTACAGTGCCAACTGAATCTTGCCTCAGCACTGGTGACCAAATAGTATTTTCCATTATGCCTAACTAGTTTATAATTCTCAAGACAGGCTGCATGATATATAAACACTGTCCTCCCAGACAGGGGAAGAGCCAAGATATTTAGCCTGAAGCAGTCCTTTATTCTGCTCAACAATTTAAAAGTATTGAACTAGAATCAGAAACAGGCTTTATAAAAGAATAATCAGTAGTCTAGAAAAATAGTTTTAAAAGTGCAAATTGCCTTTTGCAAATAGAAGTATACAAATATTTCTGAATGCGGAGCATAGTTGTTGGCTTAGAATCTGGAACATCCTTATTATGAATTTTTATAAACTTCCTCATGCAGTATGTATATAGATGGAAAGGCATATAAAGCTGCCCCACAAGCCTAGTGACAGAAACAACAAAATAAAGGGAAGGGTGAAGTCCAGGGGAAAAAAGATCCAGAAATAACTTCATTATTATAAGTTGAAAAAAATAAAATCATCTCCAAGGCTATCCAACCTAATCTATGATTTGCACAGAATCACAGAATAATTTTCAGAGTTGTACGCAATCTGTTTCAATTACTAAATAACTAAAATTGGTTTGAACATAAATTATTAATAGGAATTATATGCTCCTAATATACTGTGTGAAGGAAATAGTCAAATGTGACATAATTTATTAAGAACAGGATTCTAAAAGGAAATTTTAGAATTTTATTAATTTGAGACGTTGAAAAAATAGGATATGGACTTACAGTAGGAACCCTGTTTATTTTTCCCCTTTTGAGAAAATCTGAAATTCTTTAATTTTCTATGCAAAGCATTCATTGAATAAGACTCACTGAAGGGAAAGAAAGTATATTAACAGCAGATTGTAAGATATGATATTTGTGTCAGTTATGAAGAGGTTGATCAGAATTTTATAGGACTAATTAGTTAAATGATAGCTTTAAAACTATGCCTCTTGTTTTTACTAGATTACTAGTAATAGTTAACAGGACTCAATATGATCAACTTAATGTTGGCACTGCCTGATACAGTCAAGGGCTTTTGTTTTTACTGTTAAGTCCAGCTGTATTTAAAAAAAATAAAATTGCACATATTGATTATAAATCATTTTATAGTGCAAGCATTATCACTATTTACATCTTGTACAATACTGTTGCACATACTTAAACATGATTTGGAGGGGTTGCTTCATTCTGCATGGAAATACTTTTGCAGCGTCTCTTTAAAGTAGTCACATCTTTTTGACTTGTTAAAATAGCTGTGCCTTTTTTCAAGTTCATGTGAAGCCTGAAAAAAGATGTGAACACTTTAAAGAGACCTGTGCTTGTGCTCACATGCATTTTGAATTAACACATTCAAATTTTCAAAAGATGGAAAACCATATTGGACAATGCACTTATCCATACCATTATATTCATGAAATGCAGTAGAAACACAATCCAACAGGAGATGTGCAAAAGGATTACAGTGAATGGCTTCATTAAGGTTCAACCAAGTTAATTTACAAGAAAGTGCTAAAAGTAAAATAGATGCTGATGCATCTTAAAACAAACAAGGAACATAATCACACCATTATATCTCCCACCTTTTCACTTCCTAGCCAATTCTGTTCAAGGAGATTATACGAGGGTATTCTTAGATGAAGTCTTGATTCAATACAAACTTCACAGTGATTACGGTGTTACTGTAGGCTGAAACACACTAATTTGAGAATACTGCACCAATATTACTACAAATTGGTAAAGAAGCAGTATTGCTCACTATCATACAGAATGACAGCTGGATAAGGAAGCTAAAGGGAGGGTGGAATAGAGGAGGGAAAGATAGTAACCAGACGTGAAAAATGAGGCTTAAGAGGTCCCACTGTTTGAGGTAGAAGAGGGACTTGCTGTTTCAGCCAGTGCTTCATTCTTTCCCTGGGTGCAGCACGATCACAACCATTTCTAGTTAGAAGGCCAGCTGCTTACCATATATGCAGTTCACTGACTATGTATGTATGTATGTTCGGGGTTCTAACAGCAGTGCATGAAGTGGCATGTACTGACTGCATAGGTAGATACTACTACCATCTCACAATCAATGATGCATATAGGGAGGGTGTCCAGGTCATCAAGCTAGCTCATAGAGGTGTGTTCTTTATTTGTGATGAAATAGCTACTCCAGATTAATGGGCGGGGTGGGGGGGGTTGGGAGGAGAGAGGCAATGGTTGGCCTCAGTTCACTCTTCCTGGTCCTTTGTTTTGTAACTACCAAACAAAATGTTCTGTTACACTAGTTTTGTTTCCTCCTTGATACTATTGTGTATATTTGTGCGTTGCTGACAATGATTATAACCCCTTCAATGTCTGAAAGAAGATGAAAAGTTGTTCTTATCTTTTTGCATTTATGATAAATGGGGTTTCTGGTAGGCTACAGAAATGTTGCTGTAAGATAGGAGTCCCCTCTTGGATTAACTGAAGAACCAAATGCTTGATTTCTTTCATTCAATAGTAGGGACGTTATCTTTAAGATCATGAAACAAAATCAGAGTGGACAACTAATTTGAAAGGCAAAATAATTCTAGACAGTTAAATATACTGTATGACTATTGGATAAAAATCGATACAAATACCTTAACTGAAGATATTTCACTTCAGCACAGTTCCCACCATAGGAATGTTGATCATCAGGCAATCTGAGGAATTTAACTAGCATTTCCTAAGACACGGACATCTTAACTTATTAATTAGAAATACATCATAAGGAAAATGCTTTAGATAAAGATAGGACATTGTGGATTTCCATTTAGTAAAACACATTTTCCCAACTATGATTGTTTCTGTTACAGGTAGTCCCTGGGTTAAGAATGCCCAGTTTAAGGACAACCCATAGTTAAGTACACAGCCTAGTGTAGCAAAATTTGAGTTAAATACACAATAATTCGAGGTAATTACACAATATTACTTCTTCAGTATTATACAATAACACTGTTCTGGCTTACATACAAATTCAACTTAAGGACAGACCTTGGGAATGGAACTCATTCTTAAACTGGGGGCTACCTGTATTCTTCCCACTTATCTAGTTAATATCTTTAATACACAATTTGGCTGAAATCTGCAGTGTAGAAAAGTTGATTGGATTAAGGCAAAAAGATGTATACACATCATCCATTTCATAACAGTTTCACTTCATTCCTTACACTGTGACTGATAAGGTGAAAGCATTATCAGGAGTTTTCCGTCTTACATGCTTATGTCCAGGTGGAAAAAAAAGTCTTCATCTAATCTGTCTGGTTAGATTACAAGATTTCTTAGTTTGTTTGGATGTCTAAAATAATAAAAAAAGAAAGTCTCCATACTTGTGGTTTCATCTTGTTATAATTATCTTTTCCATGGCATAGATAATGTGATCCCAATTTTTGTATAAAATTGCAAGAAGAGTTACTGCAAAAAATGTGCAAATAATATGGAAACGGGTTTTCATCATAGGAGCTATAAACTTTGCTATGGTGGAGACGCATACTAGGATAACAGTCATGAAGGCCAAGACTACGTTTATACATTTTCCTAGTAGGACTTTGGCATTAACAGTTTCTGATTGTAACGCTTGCTGTTCTTGCTGGTGAAGCTCCAATTTAGCAACCCGTGTCTGGCAAGATTCCAAAACTTCCTATTGGCAAAAAACAGGAAGGGGAAGAAGTGGAACAAAATGTTAAGGAACTTATGCACAAAATAGATTTCCATTCCTATCTGATCAGTGGAAGAAATAATTTCCAGCACGAGATTATTCCAAACTCATGCTGGAAAATGTGCTGGAAAATGATTCTCAGAATTCCCAGTCTCTTCATCATTGGAGAAGTTAGATCTAAATCTTAAAGATTACCCCCATTTTGCATAAACTATTTAAAATATTCCTTGATAACAAAACAGTTCAGACATTTCCATTCTCTGTGATGAAGATGTAAAAAGTGATGGCTTTCTCTGAATATACTGATGATGAAAAGTTGAGCCAATTTTTTTTAACTCTCAGTAAATTTCAGAGGAAATTATCATACTTCTTATTAACAACCAATTAATTTTTCCTTGCAACAAACTAACCTTATTAGCCTTCTGCAAATTAATTTTCTGGATGGGAATGTGCAAAAGGGTTCTTTGCACTAATATTCTTTACAAATAGGAAACTTTATTATTTAATTTTTAAAAGTTGATACCTGAACATCACGTGACCGCTCATAAGCCTGATATGCTACTTTTTCTTCAATACTGGCCAGTTCTTGCTTCAAATTGGCTGTTTCATGTTGATGAAGGTCTGTTAGATCATTTAGTTGGTCTTCTAAGCGCTCATATCTTCATATGAATTTCAACAACAAAAAGATTTATGAAAATTACTTTTGATGTAATTTATAGTGTATCTAATTAAAGTATAACTTAAAAATCTCATTTGTAGGTTATCCTTTTTTAAAATCAGGATATGAAGTGAGTATAAGCTGCCTTATATGTAAGCTATATATTTTAGACTTTTTAAAAATCAAACTGTAATTGATTATTTCAATTTATATAGCCACCCATGTCAAATGCATGACTGAGTGGCTTACAACAATTAAAACCACTACAAAAGAACAAAATACAATCTTAAAACATAGAAAACTATAGAAAACCATATAAAATATATAACATAATCCACAGCCAAGATATATAAAACAGCAACACTCAAAACAACTACCATATAGGCTCTACTGCACATCCAGATCCCTAAGCCCAGGGGTAAAATGACATCTTTAAGTCTTACAAAAGGTCAGTGGAGTTGAGGCCAGTCTGATCTCCAGGGGGATGATGTTCCAAAGGGTGAGCACAATGACAGAAAAGGCTCTCTTCCTGGGCCCTGCCAGATAACATTCTCTAATGGATGGGACCTGAAGCATGCCTCTCCTGCTGGATCTAATGGGATGGGTAGATGGCATCCAGGGAAGGCAGTCCTTCAAATAACCTGGTCCCATGTCACGAAGGCCATCATAGGTCATCACTGGCACCTTGAATCGAACCTGGAAGCATAACGGCAGCCAACACAGCTCATGGAGCAGCAGCGCAATGTGTGCTGATCAAGGAGTGCACATAACTGCCTACAAGTTGCACTCAGCACCAGCTGTAGCTTCTGGATGCTCTTCAAGGGCAGCCCCAGATAGAGTGCATTGCAGTAGCCCATTTGGGAGGTGACCAAGTTATGAGTGACTGTGAAAAGAGCCTCCCAGTCCAGGAATGGGCATAACTGGCATCCAACATGAAGTTGTGCAAAGGCCCTCCTGGCCATGGTTGCTACCTGCTCCAGGAGCAAGTTCTACTTGGGGTAGTGCAACTCCATCCAGAACAAGAGATGGTAAGTTCCTGGAACCAGGGCCCTCCAAACCCAGTCTTGCTAGGGTTGAGCTGAAGCCTCTTCTCTATCCAAACTTCCACAGCCTCCAAACATGGAGGCAGGATTCCACAGCATCACTTAATCAACCTGGGGACTGAGGTGTAAAGCTGGGTATCATCAGCATACTTAATCCCTAAACTGTAATTTTTTGCAGGTGATAATATTAAGTCACATCTACAAGATGTCATACTTCTATAACGCTATTAAAAAAAAAAAAATCTGGTCCCTGCCTAATGAAAATTGTATGAGTGAAAAGGTTTCATTCCTTCTTCAACTCACTTTTTTCTTTGCTGCATTCCTTGACACACTTATATTCTCACTTGCCTGTGTAAAGTAATTTTAATGAAATATAATTGTGTACCTGAATCTTTCCTCTTGCAAGGTCTGAGAAATAAAGCCATAATCTCTTTTGAACTGTACTTTTAAATTCTCAATATCTTCTGTTAATTGGGATTGTGCTTCCTTTATTTCTCTCAGTTCTTCCAAGAATATGGAAAGCTTTCCATGGTTGTCCAAAGCATTTGCCCCACCATGGCCAAAGGACTGGTTTCCATTACTGTCTACTGATCCAGATGTTCCACTTGAGCATTCGTCATCACTGGTGTATTTTGGCTTGGCTACTATTGTGGCACTACCACCGTATGCCCTAGTAGTTTCTGGTCTGAAGTCATCTAAGCTACTCTTCAAGTGAGCAATGTTGTCAGCACTACCAAACTTATTCCGAATCAGATTTGCAAACTCTCTGGATTTGTTGAAAACAAACACTGGGGGTGTCAATGAGACTCCTGGAACCCCTGTTTTGCTGCTTTCATTGCCCTGGCCGGTAGCACGAGCTTTTCCATGTGCATCTTTTAAAGAGTTTTGGATTTCCTTTAGGCTGTCTTTGGAAGTATCTCTGGTGCTTTTGGAGGAGCCATTCTGTTCTATGTCTTTTAGTTTTTTGTGATATTGTTCCAGTTTTTTTTGCAGCTGGGCTATGGAATGGGCAGACTTCTGATTCTTCTTTTCAAAGACTTGTTTGATTCGCCCAGCTTGTTGTTTGTCTGCGCTGTTCACTAGCTTCAAGTACTCTGCCACATTCCCATCCCGAGCTGTTTGTTCTATTTTTATCTGCTCAGTAACTTTCAGAATCTTTTGTTTCAGACTATCTGCACTGAGTTTTACTTTGTGAAATTCAAATATACCATCAGGTACATCAAAATTGAGGTTAGTGTCTGAACCTCCCCGGCGAATATTAAGAGGCAAACTGAGTGTATTCATATCATGTCTTTCCACCTAAGAAAAGATTAAATACAAAAATCAGTAAGGGCTTTTTTGTGTAAAGTTTTATATATATAGTCATATGTCATTGTAATCAGAAATTATTCAGAAATTTATCATAATTTATTATCATAATTCTCATGAGTAATAATGAATTGCTGCATAAATACATTGACTGAAAGGACATAGTGTTCTGCTATTTCCTCTAGGTTAAACATAATAAATAATACATAAATAAACACAACTAACAAATAACACAAAGGTACATGATTTTACTTCAGAATTATAAATAGCTCTAAGCCTAAACTTTGCCATATTCCTAAAACTATTGACATTCATTTAGAAGTTAAAATAATATAACTTTGTCTTACAAATAAAAGTTCCACAGGTTGTTTTGTATGCTACACAATTTGTTTATATTCTTCATTTTTTCAAATTATATGTAATTATTTCACTGAGCAGCTGCTTTGAGCCTCTAAACAAAACAAAAAGTATACATTTTCTTCGATTTAGCCATTTTCCATTTTCTCAGAGAAAAAGTAGTTGAGATACATTTAGTAAAGCCAACAAGCTCACCTATATATTAGCTTATCAAATTGCATACTGAATCTGAGAAGCATGATTCCATGATACAATAAAGAAATGTGTCTGCCCAAATGCAGTGATTTCCATAAATCTATACTTTCTTTAAACTTTTTGATCATACTATATTTGTGTGAATGCATTAACATATTATGGTAAAATTATTTTACTAGGATGTACTCAAAATTTTGGACATAAAACAATTTTAGTAGATTTTGATTTAAAATTCTTACTGTGGTATATTTTGAATGTATGTGGCTGCTACTCAGCAGTTAAGTGCTAACAGCTCTTTGTCAACAGATAGCTGTGAGTCTCATAATAAAATACCATGTGGTGTAGAGACTGGGAAAGATCAGTTTGTCTGTTTGTCTGTCTATCTATTGTTCTAAAAACAGGTGGAAGAATCTAAAAACAGATTCAGTGAGCTACTGCCCTATTTCCTCATGCAAGCAAAGTTTAGTTTAACATATTGCAAAAAAGAATAAAGCCACAGAAGAAGAAAAAAATGTCAAATGAACAGGCTTCTGAAAAGGTAGACAGCCACATGATCAGATAGCCAATACAAGATAAATAATACAGAGAGGAAGAGCATAAAAGAAGACCTACTTTTGCTTCACTGGCTACAGCAAGACCTTCTTATAGATCATACCAGACTGTGGACATATTAAGGCTAATGTGCCAAAATATCAAATAATCTTTTGGAGGAATCTTTATAACAAACAAAAAGCTATTGTAAATTAAACTGACTCTGTTTTCCAAAGTGAACCAATATAGTATAAAATGGAAAAAGTAGAAGAGATGACAGCTGGAATCAAAATTAAAGATAAAACACTATCAGTTTGAGATATACAGACATACCACTTCATAAGTTTAAGGCAGTGGTTCTCAAACATTTTGGTCTCATGACCCCTTTACATTCTTTAAAATGATTGAGGACTCCAAACAGCTTTGTTTTATGTGGGTTATATCTATTGATATTTACTGTATTAGAAATTAAAACTGAGAAATTTTAAAATATTTATGTATTTGACTTTGCAGACCTCCAGTGATCTCCAGACCACTGAGAACTGCTGGTCTAAGGTAAATAACATCTAGAAGAACTCACTAAAACTTAAATTCAAGTTAATATTAAATATTTGGAAGACAAGGGTAATGTCAACTTGTACACTCAGTGACCTATTTTCAGTGAAGAACTGAAGGTGGTAGATAGTTTTATTTTGGGGGAAGAATAGCTAAAAATAGACCTTGTACTGGAGAAGAGGAGAAGCAGGGACAAAACTAGATAATAGTTTTGGATGGGTGGATAGGGAGAAAAAAATTATTAGAATTTCATTGGAAAAGCTATGAATTATTATGAATGAAGGTTAAGGATATTTCAATGACAACAAAGATCAGAATAGCAAAAGTAATGGTCTTTCCAAAGGTAAAGTATGGCTAAGAAAACTAAATCCTGAAAAAAAATAAGATAGAAGCCTTTGAATTATGGAATTGGAAATGGTTATTAAGAGTGTCATGAAGAGCTGAAGAACTAATCAATCCATGCCATTGCTCCTTTTGGCAATGATCAGTAGCTGAAGCTCATATAGTTTGGGCATATGATGTGAGGAGATGATGGACTAAAATAATAGCTGTACTTGGGAAGGTTGAAGGAAGTTGAAGAAGGGAAAGACAACAGATAAAGTGGATGGATAGGGAGAAAAAAATTATTAGAATTTCATTGGAAAAGCTACGAATTATTGCTAAGGACAAGTTGACTGCAGTCAGCAAGAGTCGAATTTGACTCAATGACCTGTAAATTAGTTCCTGATCATTGCCAAGTGGAATTTTCTCTGCTCTAGAGTGGGAACAGAAGGATTAACTGTACATGGAACACAGGCACAGACTATGTTATAGCACCAATGTTGACTTTAGTGGTGCTTTAATTTGTTTCATTTTAGAAAAAAGCAATTTCGAAAGACAGCACCTGAGAATTAAATGGGGGCTGAAGAGCTCTTTGCTTTTTCTGTCCCAGCCATTTTTTCTCCCCTATGTTCCATTTCCCCAAAGTTCCAAAATCAATATAAACTTTTCTGAGTGGCATATGAGGTAACTGTTTCATTCTCTGTTCCCAAAGCTACATTTAGGAAAAAATGGATTAGGATTCTAATGCATACATTTTCCCATAACATGGACTTAAAGATACATGATACATCTGTGCAGTATGTCTTTCTTAATGTTTTACTCAGAGACTAACATGACTCTGGGCAGCTCACATAATTAAAACAACCACAGAAAACAATACACAACGTAGAGAACAATAAAATAACCTCATTAAAACTGAATTAAAACCACAGCACAAAATCAGCAGGAAAGTGCAAGTCATGTGTCAATCAATACAACCATGTAGCAAGCTCCATACCTGCTATAGTTTTTATTTCTGATTAGTTTATTTTAAATACTTACATCCAGTGCTTACAAAAAGAATCACCCAATCACTAAAGATCGTTTAATGTACAGTAAAATTAAAGGAGTAGTTGGAAGTAGTTAGCCATTTGGGCTATACTATGGTACAAGTTATTTTTCCCCAAGAGGATTTGAAATTGCAACAATTAGATGGACCAATCCAACTGGATTATGGAAAAGTTTTAGCCAGTCAGTAAAAATAGTTATCCAGAGTCTGGATTCAACTTTACCAACTCCTGATTGCTGTTCCCACTGGAACACTGTGTTTGGAACACACTGGGAGACCTGGAAAATGTTTCTCAAACGTTTGGTTTGGACTCTTTAGGACAGACAGCTGTGTTGTTGTACAGTCCAAGGTGAGTCTTGCAGAATTCCATCAAGCATCCTCAATAACCATGTGTCAGGTCTGCGATGTTCAAATCCCAATGAAGAAAAATCTCATGCAACCCAAGTTAGGTTCAAAAAAGATTTCATTTATTGGAATGTACATGCAACTCTAAGCAAAGCATTGCTGAAACTAAAGCCCATGCTTTTCCCACTTTACTTTTCCCACTACTTCTTACCCCCCTCTTTCCAGGCGCCAATTTGGTTCTCACAGAGGTGCGACCTTGCACATTCCTAACCTCTGATAACAGTTCAACTTCCTGGCCTTTGATAACATACCAATTCCTTCTACTTTCACTTCCCCACCCCCCCCAAAGAATGGCAGAAACAAAGCAAGCAGCTACTATGCCACCTCAGCCAGCCGTGGATTATTGCATAAACCTTGGTTAAAAAAATGAGTTAACACAATGTGTGAATCCAGCCATTATATGTGTTATATCACAAATATAACACCAACAATGAGATGTACTGTCATAAAATTCAAAGAAATATGGGAAATATTGAAAATTAGATCACTAAAGATATATTTATATATCTTTATCTCACAGATCAACTCAGTGCAAAAAATAGCTTTGATTTAAATTTTATCATACACATCCTCCTCTGAGCTTTCTATCATAAAATGTCTGATAGACAAAACTGAGCAACATCTTACGTATTACTCATTTCCTAAAGAAATGGAAACATCTTGAGTCAGTGCAAACTCAGAGTAATATTATGTGCTAACTGATTTATGTTTATACAAAATCGAATCAGTAGTGGCACCAAGGGCAAATTGCATAAGCTTCAGATCTGGCTACAATATTACTTTCATAGTACAAAAATGTTTATAAATACTAGGCATAAACATATGCAGAGCTTACCCTGATTCTCTTGTGCCCTCTTGAGCAACATGAAATCTCTCTTTCCCACAAAAGTGGGAAAGGCTCCCTACAAATCAGTACAAAAGCCATCTAAGGAGACAGGCAAAGTTCATTTTTGTTGGCCAAAACAAAACATGAAATCAAATTACTTATATTTGGGGCACAAAAAGCTTACAGTATAAAATCATGACCTCATCATTTGCATGATTAGCAAGTTTTTAAAAAGAAAGTGTATAAGTAAATGAAACACATAAAATACATACAGGGATTAAGAAGTTGATAATAAGACCAAAAATAAATTCAATGGGAAAAAGTAAGAAAAAAATACTGAAATCGTTTTCTAAACATCTGGAAGAATAAAAGATTTAACTGACACCAAAGACTGCAATGTAGCTTACTCATTTGACAGGGCTACATTGATCTTAGATAATAATGATGGAGGTATGAAGAAGTATATGGGAGTATATATTTCTCCATTCTGTCTTCTCTTTTGACTGCTGTTATTGTCTAATATATTGATTATTGTGTTTTGAATGCTCTGTTTAATATCATAAGTTGCTTTGGGGATGTCTAATCAGAACTAAAAGATGATGAAATAAGCCCCCTGAAATAAAATGAAGCTGCCAATCTAAAAAGGCATTGTATTACAAACTGTTGAAAAGTATATTGCTGTAAAGAAATACTAAAGATACATTTATTCTTCTGAATCCTAAACTTACATTCACTCAAACCTGTTTGGCTGTT